GCTGTAATTCATCACTAATTCCTTTCATGAAGGAGGCAATGGATAATTTTAGCAATTGCCTTCTCACTCAGAGAACGTTTTCAAAAACCACAGCGTTTTGAGGATTATTAATAATTTAAGACCGAGGACCTTTACAGACTGCCAGAAATAGTGCAAATTGAGGCCACTTTAACTGTCCTGGCTCAGTGCTAGGGAATCATGAGAATTGTATTTTTTTCTGGGACATTGAGCCTTCTCTGTCAGAGAGCTCTGGTGCCACAATAAACTACAGTTCCCATGATTCCTTAGCACTGAGCCAGGACAGTTAAAGTGGCCTCAAGCTGCATTATTTCTGGAAGTCTGTAAAGGCCCTTAATCTGTGCAAGATATGCAAGTGTTTTTTTTTAAAAAATAGGAAAAAAATATTATGCAAAGGAAGCAACATTTTCTAAACAGAAAACAATATTTCTCCACAGAGGTATTATTTTCTTAAGATAAAAGTTGGTTTCATGTGCAGAAAGTGCTGTTTTCTCTGAAAAAAGGAAAAAAGGTGAAAATTTTCCACATAAGTCCCCAATTACAACATTTTCTTTGCAGAGACATTATTTTATGTGCGGAAAATGCTGTTTGCTGCAGAAAACAACTACATGTGAGTTTTGCACAGAATAAGTTTCAAACTGCAAAGATTCTCATCAGTCCAGGATTCTTCTTGTCAGAGTTTCTTCAAATATTTTCTTTCAAGTACTTTCAAAGAGTTTCTTTCAAATATTTTCAAATATTCTATCCAGCCATATTAGTCATTTAGCAAACATATCCTTAAAATGGGTAATATTTCATATGCCTCCTGTACCATATATGAAATGTATTCTTGCCCTACACATTTTTAGCAGTTTGATGCCCTTTTAAGACTCATAGCTGTATCGCATGAGTCTTAAAAAGGCATCAAAGGGATCTGTGGTTTGCTGGAGCAGTGGCATCCCCAGCCTGGGTGTCACCCAGTGTGGGAGGTGGGGTTTCTGGGGGGTGGGGCTTATGAGGGTGGAGCCAAAAGGGCAGCCTCCCCCCCCCCCATGCCTTCCGAGTCCTAATGACTTGGAAGGCAGACTCCCTTCTCTCCCAAAACCCTTCTGAGTTCATGCTGGATCTGAAAGGCAGACTCCCTTCTTCTCTATGCCTTCTGAGCTGGACTTGGAAGTCAGCTGGGGTAATGCTGGCAGGGGCACATTGGATGGGGGCATGCCCTAGATAGAGCAGCCTGCAAGGGTGTGCTTGCGCTTGTCCTGCCCTGAAGGGGGAGGAGGGTCCAACTGAGTATCACCCCCTACCTTTTTGGGTGTCACCCAGTGTGGTCCACATCCTCCACACCCTTGAGAGATGCTACTGTGCTGAGGTATTTTGATCTCTCTGCAAGATAATGCCTCATACTACAAAACCCAGTATTCTATAAGATAGAGCTTTGATAGTTAAAGTGGTATCAAGTTGCTAGAACTGTGTAGTGCAGAAACTTTCTAAGTAACTACTGAATGGTAGTTGAAATACAAGTGGTTTAAACAGGAGTCAGTCCCACTCACGTTCCAGATTAGTTGTATTTGCAGTGCAAAAATTCAGCCTCAGATTAGGAAAATAAAATGAGTGCCTATATGAAATACTAAACACAGTGTAGCAGAAAGCAAGTATCTATTAATGCAGTGCTACTATCTGAAAGATAAAGGTTGTTGTTGTTGTTGTTGTTGTTGTTGTTGTTGTGTGTACTTTCAAGTAATATGGTTTATGGTGAACCTAAGGCCAACCTATCATGGAGTTTTCTTGGCAGAATTTGTTCAGAGGGGATTTGCCTTTGCCTTCCTCTGAGGCTGAAAAGGTATCTCTTGTCCAAGGCCACCCAGTGGCTTTCTATGGCTGCCTTCAAAACCTTCAAAACATGGTATCCATGTGTCCTAGTCCAACACCCTAACCACTATACCACACTGGCTTTACAAAAGCTAAGTAGTAGAGATTTTAAAAGGTTTTTTTTTTGTTTTGTTCCTTTGAGGCTATACAGTTAATCTGAACGATGGCTCCATGTGGTATGATTGCCATGCATGCATGTCAAGGAAGAATGGAAGAAACACCTGAAGATGTGGGGCCTATTTTGAAATCTGTATGTTTGTTTTATACTTGAGAATTCACTAGAAAATTTTTGGACTCCAGCTCCCATCAACTCTATCCATCAAAGTTAATGGTGAGGAAGGATGGGAGTTCCAACAGCATCTGGAGTGTAGTCCAGTGCAGCTTGCTTCTGAATAGACAGTCACAGGACTGCACTGTTCATTGTTTATGGTTAAAATGCAACACTTCAAAATCTACAGAAGGTTGTAATAAGTAAATTACATCCTTAATTCCATTCTTCTCATTTTCACGAATTGTTATTAGAGACTGGGGAAGGACATGTTTAACAATGAGAGCACTTAACTCAGACTGGTTTATTTGATATTTCCCAAGTCTATATTCATTTTCCTCATCTACATCATAGTGATGAAGTCAATGCCAGTCTTTGAACACCATGTTTGAATACTTATCCCGGTCTTGAAATGAAATATCAAATTAAACCATAGGATACACCAACATTCAGAATAAAATAATTTTACCTTATCTATTTGTCTATCAAACAAACAAACGAACAAAGGAATGCAAAAGTAGGCAGTACTTTATTGAAACCCATCCTACCCATTTTCTCTCATTTTAGTTTTAAGAAATAAACTATCTCTAACAATAGTAGGGATCCTGTGGAATAGTCTAACTTTCTGAACCCAAGAAACATGGAGTGGTGGTTTGTAGATGGGAAGGGATAGAGAGAGAATGGGAAGTGATCTAAGAACGTACTATGATGGAGGCAGTCAAGTAAAACTTCTTATTGTCAGAGATTATTCAAGTGCCAGGGAGGAAGAGATGTTTAACTTTCTGGCCTGCCCTATACTACCCTTGCTCTGAGATGAATGTGGAGCATAATATATTTCCATCCTGCTCTGGATATAGCAGACTGTGAGCTGCCATCTTCCCACAACTTCCCACCATCACCATTCTCTTTGGATATTATGTCTGAAAAGGCATCAGTTATCATACTCCAAAGCAATGCAGATTTCGACCCCTAGATGGCATTATATTATAAGAAATACTTCCAATTTTGGGAATTAAATGTTCCAATTTTGGGTTAATGTTAAGTATCTGGATTTTTTAAAAGCAGGTTTTGAAAAAAGAAAAAAAGAAGAAGTTAGCATTCTTCTGTTATCACATTTTTTATCTTGAGAAATTAAGTGACCCACAGGTTATTTCATCACAATTTCTGGTCAAATAATGTGTCAAGGCTAAACATCAGGAGTGCGCGAGTATGAACACCTTCAATACACTGAAAGTTATTTGGGAGAAGTTGGATAGCCCTCATGGCACTAAGATTAAAACAGCAACAATGTCACATTGTGTGAGTTGTGGGGTATTTTTTGATCACAATGAGAATTCCAGTGTATTGAAGTCTAGGTTCCGGTGTACAATCTTGTTATTATGTGCCATCCAGTTCAGCTTCAGCTTATGAATAAGAAACCTCCAAGAGATTCTTGCCAGAATCCTATATGACCTATAATGCTATGTAACTGTATGCATACCTAGCTGGATTTTAGGCATTTTAGCCTAAACAGAGGAATTCTGAGAGGGAGCCAAAGGACTGGGACTTTATCTTTGAGGTTTCTACCTTCAACAAAGGTAAAACATTTTAAAATTGGGGCTACATTTGGTGTGTTTTACCTAAACAGCACTTAAGATTCATCTTATTTCCACGCTAGAGACATTTAAGAAGGCACTTAAGAAGGAGCTCTTCCGGCAGGCCTATCCACCTGACCTTCCTAACTGAACATAAGATTAGACATTACCATCTTATAAGACCTCCCGGCTGAAAAAGATTATATCAGTCAAGGCATAGACCTGTATTGTAATTTTATTATTGTATTAATTATTGCTGTTATTTTATTGTTTTTACTGTTGGGTTTATTGTTTTTATTATTGCTCTTTTTATTACTGTTTTGGTTTTATTGTTATGTTTTTCTTTTTTATTGATTGTACTACTGTACATTTTATACATTTTATCTTTGTACTCCTGCCTCGATTTGTAGGGAGAGGAAGGAAATAAAAATAAAATTATTATTATTATTATTATTATTATTATTATTATTATGAAACAGCATAGAGGCTCCTGGAGAAATTTGATGTTCTCTGCTTAAGAAGGGAGCAGGTAGCTTTGCAAAGCACAGAGGCAGCCTGGATCTCAAAGGAAGTATGTTTTTCTGTTGCTAATAGTTTAAATTTATTTCCTGGACTTTATGACTCTTTGGGGGGAAGCAGATGGCGCAAAGGGCCATTTTGGGGGCAAGGAAGGGGAGGGGCAGCTGCACGGTGGGCGCCCGAACCCCTTCCCGAAGGCATTGTCGGAGCACTGGCCCCTCCGCACAGCCAGCGCTCCAACGATGCCTTCCCACCTCAGCATCTGCACATGCTGCGGCAGAAGAGTTGCCAAAGGTGCGCCACCAGCCTTTTGCGGCGCACCTTCGGCGACTTGTGGAAGGAGTGCTATTTTAGTGTTCCTTCCAGGGGCAGAGGTGTGGGGATACTTTGGCCCCACGGTCTGCTTCCCCCTTTTGTCTCCCAGAACCCCCATGGGAAAAAGGGAAGAGTGGCTTCTCCCTACAGGAATATCCCTCCATATCATCTTGAACAACAACAACAAAAAGATCTCAACAAAATGTAGATCTGTAACTCTAACGTCATCATACTTTTATTTTTCCTGTATGATTTTAACACCTTTGCCTAATGAAAAGTCAGTAGATCTTGACAGTGTGCATCAAGTATTTTGTGCATTTTGGTTAGCACAATAAATGTATTGCTGCATTGTGGATTTTGGATGTTATTGTACTTTGTTGTATGGCCAACATGGCTACATTTGTATATGGTTTCTAGCTACATAGCAGAGGTGCTAAGAAACCCCTTACTGAATTGCAAAGGTGGCATAATGGTTTGAGCATTGGACAATGACTCTAGAGACCAGGGTTCGATTCCCAGCTCAGCCATGGAATCCACTGGGTGACCTTGGGCAAGTCACACTCTCTCAGCCTCAGGGGAAGGCAATGGAAAACTTTCTCTGAACAAATCTTGCCAAGAAAACCCCATGCTAGTTTTGCCTTAGGCCTAGGGTCACCATAAGTCAGAAACAACTTGAGGGAACACAACACACACAGACACACTCACTTAACAGGATACTGACAAGAGCACAAAATTGATGCATGATGTATATCACTGCACAATGCACATCTGTGTGATGCACATCTATTCCCTGTGCATTAATGTGTAATGCACAGCACTGTGTAGTGTGACTCAGTGCACATATTGCACCAATGTGTATTGCACATCAGTATGTATTGTGTGCTGATGCATAGGTCACACTGATGCACATTGTACACTTTGTCAGCTCTGCTGCATAGTAACGTAACAGCAGCCCTACTGGATATGGATGTTACGCACTTGCACAGTTCTAATTCCCACAGATGTAAATCCACTTACAAAGATGTTAGGCCCCAATAGGATTCTGGTGTCTCTTATTAGCAACCCTGTTCATGCCTTACCAAAGAGCCATGGCTTCCTTGATTGGATCACTCCACCTGTAAGTGTATAATTTTGTATTCTCTGAGAAGTCAGATGTTCCCTCAATAGAAGAAACTCAGCTTTTTTCCAAATGGCTTCTAACAATCAAAGCACATCATTTCACTGGATTCTTCAACTGAATGTGATTCTGGGAAATGAAAATGTTCTGTACCAATGCATGCAGATTAATGGCTAACTTTTGATAGCCAGAAATAACGTCATCATATGGTAAAACTCCAACATGTTCTCTTCAGCATGTAGTTTATTGAATTATATGCCATTTTCTGAGAAACATTTACTTTCCAGTCCCCCAATCCCCCAGAATAGTGTAAAAATGCAAATAAATTAATAAAATTGATTACCTAAGATCCTGGTAGATGGTTTATTTCTACTCTATAGTGACTGAGGTAATAGGACAGAGCTGATGAGCCCAAATGAAACATTGTCTGAGGGAACAAAATCAAGAGCCACCTGTATTCATACTGTGACTTTTTGTGATTGGTTATTATGTTGCCATTTAAAAGAAGAAATAATCCTATCTTTTATTCATTTATGGAAGCAGAGCTGTGATTCAGGGCCATGTTCCGCTCACCACAGGCATCTATCCAACAGCCCAAAGGCAGAGGCAATCAATATTCAATGGCTTCAATGAGCTTTCAAGCCAGTCCTGTGCTCAAATAGATAGCCCTGTTCCAAGACTCCTATGGAAATTAATACCAAACCCGCTGCGGAATTTAATGGGGAAAAGGCTTTTATTTATTGACACTTGTGAGGCTATATAGAAGAGGGATTTGACCCACACTGTGTCATCTACATCTCCAAGCAGATTGTAAAAGCATTGCTATCACAGTTTTTATTTTCAATGTGTCAGCCACATAAAACTTAAAATAAGGGCAACATGTGATCCTCTAGATTTTGCTAGACTGCAGGTCCTAGCATTCTTCACCATTTTCTATGCAGTCTGGAGCTGGTGGGAATTGCACTCCAACAACACCTGAAGAGCAATATAATTCTCACTCATGTTTTAGAATGATTATGGTTAGTTGAGGTATTTGCTTGCTGATGTAGAAGTTAAAGAACTTATCACAGGTTGGGGAGGGAGGCTTGAAGGTTGCTTGTCACTAGGCGCTAACAGAATTTTTGAATGGAACTCAGCATAATGTCTCAGGGGGCCATGGACCTCAGAAACAGTGTAATGGCAAATTATTTATTCCACACAGCAGGAACTTTTAAAGAAGTAACTTGTTGCAAACACAGATCTCTTGCTGGGTTACAATTGTCAATGCCAAGTAAAACACCCTTATCACATGAGAAAAGAAAGCTGAAATGGAATGGGAGAGTTGTGGCTTTCTTCGTGCCTCTCTACATGCTGTCATAGTACTTTCATTCTCTTCCTGAGGGAGATGGTCATAAAAACATTCCTTTTGTTGCACTGGAAAAATCTGTTTGGCAAAAGGCATGTTTATGACCATCTTCCTTGGGAAGAGAATGGAAGTGCTATGATGGCATGAGGAAAGGCACAGAAAAACTACTGCTCTCCTGCTTTATTTTGGCTTTCTTTTCTCATGTGATAAGGCTCTTAGGTTCATCTGTCCTGATAGGTCTGCATTATTACAGATAACTATGTAATTACAAGAATCTTGTAGGTTGATGCATGTCACAGAGAATTTTTTTGCTGGCTGAGAAGAACTGAGATGGCTTCTTCTAACAACTGATTTTATTTATGGAGTGGATTTGAGCAAAGGAAGGAGATCAGCACATCACAGATTTAGAAGCATCAAGAGAAGGAAACTGTTTTTTCTTTTGTTTTAAAACTGCTTCTGAGTGTCTTTTAAAACAGATATTAAGACAAATTCAGAAACTTCTGCACATATTGGAGGTTGTTGTGAGCTGAGGAGAAAATGAAGTCACAAATAATGGCTGTCCTCCAAGGTCAATATTTCCAGACTCATGCTTGCAGTTATAAAGTATAACCACCTGGTGGATAGACTGGTCTGTGATACAGAGTTCTTCAGTTCCAAATGCAACCCCCCCCCCAAACTCTCCATGAACTCATGCAACTATAAAGAAATGATCCTCCTTTTCGGCAATCCCTTACATTTTCTACATTTTCACATTTTTGGAATGCAGCCTACACACCAATTACTTTCTAGCAATATGTAGTTGTGGTGACCAGAGGTCCAGCTGGCCAATGAGGAGGCAGCTGAGAGCCAGCCAATGGACGTTATCACATGGGGTCTAAAGCAGTGCCATCCCCGTCGCATC